GACGCCTGTGGAACAGGCGCTGGCTGATGCCATTGTGGACACCATAGATGATTTCATGACGCTGTTCCCTTGGGCAGAGAAAAATCAGGACGTGAGAGTAAGACAATCACTAATTTAAACAAAGATAGCACATAAGCCACGGCTCTGTACCTGAGCATCTCCTCTGGAGAAACTGCTGTGTGCCAACCCCTGGGTCCATCACCTCACCTCAGTGAAGCTGAGCTGGAGGAGCTCTGTGCTTCTTCCTCCAGGCTAATCCAGCCAAGGCCTTCTGCTCCCTCCCACCTCCTCCTTCACCAGATTTTTTTCACCCTCGGTGGAAGGAATGATGGGGCCATCACAAGCCGCCCCTTACTGGTTCACCTTGAATCAAGGATGCCATATGGATGCATACATCAGACTGCTCTTCAAAGGGGAAAGACAGGACACTTCCATCCCAGCCGGCACTGTGCAATACCTGTATCTTGTTGCAAACAGAATAAGCGCAAATCTTTCTCTTTTTACTAACTGAACAGGATTAACAGCTCCATCCCATCTTCCTTCTGCCCTTCTGCATCTTGATTTCTACTTGGCTTTTAATATGTATCAATCTTCAATAACATCAGCTGCCAGGGACAAATTCTTTTCAATTACCAGGGTGGTGCAGGACAGCAGGCACTGCTAAAGAGGGGAGGTAGCACATCCCTCACTGTCGCTGCGGCCATGCTCTTCAGATCCCAGCGGCCCAACCTCGGCCCTCTGTGGTGCTTCTGCAAATACTGATGCCAGGCTAACACGCTACTTCAACACACAGTCATGGGCAAATCTTACAGCATTTGGGTTTTTTTTTTTGGCATCAGTCCAGTCCCTCTGGCCAGAGCCCCAAATGCAAGCATGCAGATCAGCTGCTGGGTAGGAGGGTGGTGGATGAGTTAACTCTGGCGTTACAATGGCTCCACGCAGCTCTGACCCAAGCAGATGACCTGACCCTTTCAGGAAAGTGGTAGCGTAACAACAGGTCTCACCGTTAACTACCAGTGCAGCCACCTTCCATTTATTGAAAGGTAACATTTCAGATAGACTAGGGTGTCTTATTACAGAAACCACAGAGTACAAAATGTTGACCAAAACCAATAATAAATAATGAAATGATATTAAAGTGCTCTGAAATCTTGCAGGGGAAAATCTGAAAGTGTATTTGGAGGTTTTAGTATTCAAAAATGTGAATTACTTCATGTCCTAGTGATTTCCTGAAGTTTCCTCATTTGGGGAGGGGAGGTTGACTCACGATTTTTAATCATTTAGGAACAGCCACAGTGTTGCTAACATGTTAGCGTGGAAGAGCACTACTGCCACTGTACTGCTGCTCCTTTACAGGGAAACTCCCACGATAATGCCTGCGTGTGTCCCAGCTCGTACTCAAGCACTTCTCCAAAATAAGGACCCAGACCATGTCACCAGTGATTAATTTAAAAGGGAAGAAGGTTCACAGGCAACCCTTATATGCCTGTACACACGTATGCATGCAAGGGAGTGTTTTGGGGCCAAGGAAGATCGAGAAACTTACTTTCTGGGAATCTCCTAACATTTTTCTATTAGCTGTTCTCCTTCTCTCCTCCCGGGTCCGCTGCCACCACCTTGTGGTAGAAGTGGCGTCTCATGGTCTCACAAGGCCAGATTTAAGTAATTTGCACACAGTAAAGTCAGAAAACTTCCCCCAGACAAGTGATTACAGGATCACACATCCCTCGGAGAAAGATGAAAGGATGTGTTATGCTATCTGGCCAGTAGCAAAGAGAAAACCAAGCAAGGGAGGGGGAGCAGAGGTGGAAGCTGCCCATGGAAGGTCCCTCTGTGCCAGGCACAGACTCTCCCTTCACTGTACACACCCCCAAAAAAATAGCTGGCGTTGCAATAGATTTGTCATGCATTGCTAGAGAGCTCCAGAGTTGAGACAAGTAGGTCGTGCCCCTCCAGAAGGTGGATCCTGGTCATGTCCCCACCAGCTTCATGGGTTGACTGTGTACTTCTGTAGTTGGGGGAGGTCATTACCATCATGATCACACAATAGTTTGGGGTTTTTTTTGCAGGGGAGGGCAGGGGAACTTACCTAAAAAAAGGAAATGCTACAGCACAGGGTACAAATATGAAATTTCTGGACTGCAAACTCCTGTCTGTTACTTGCAGTCACAACATTCAGTTACTAAACTCTTAACAGACAGCAGAAAATTATGTCAAATCTTCGAACGTGTCTGCAGAAGTACTGATTTTATTTCAGCCTGAATTTTTTGGGACCATTTAGGCTGCTGCCTCTTCTAAATTTTATTCTTTCTTCATTAAGCTGAATTTCAAAGCTGTTGGAATAATTCCATTCCTGTTTAGCAGTGCTTATTTAATCAAGCCTGACTATGTTCCTCCAAAGTTAGGCCAAGCACATTAACTGCACGAACTGTGCCACATGGGTCAGACCAGATGATCACAACAGTCTGCAATCTCAATTGCTTCCATGCAGGTGAGAAGAGAAAACCAGAAACAGTTTCCCTCTCCAAAGGAAACAGCTAACCCTTTAAAAGCAGCCTTAAAACTTTCTGCTACGGGGAACAGCTAGGGGAGAGCCACCACCATACACAACCTCATCCTTCATCCATTAACATACAAATACTAAGGCCCATACCCTTCAATGCAGACTTCAGCCTTTAAAAACATATTTTAACCACCTCAAATCTCATTGCTGCAGAGACAAAACAGCAGAATAACCTGCTAACATAAAAAGTTCAAAGATAAAGCCAGTAAAAGCTCAAAACCCAGGTTCCACATCTCACATGAGAAGGGCTGGTAAGGAAAGATAACCGAGCAGCATCTGACTGGCAGCACGGAAAGACTGAGCTTAAGGGATTCTGGAAATTTGAAACCCTGTATACTAGAAAACATAACATCCAAAAGAATCCCCAAAAAATGACCGTGAGACATTGAGAATATATTTTGTAGATGGATTCTCCCCAATCTATGGCAGGGCTCGCGGCTTGCCGCGGCTGAGTGGCTGTTAGCACAGACAAATGAGCGGCATCGCCTCAAACATCGTGTCTCAGCATCCAGGAGCTCTCAGGTGTTCATTAAGGGAGCAATTGGCTTAAGTCATGGCTCACTGAGCCACGAATGCCGTGTTTTGGGCATCTAACCCTCTTCATGGGTAATTACCTCAGCTTTCCTAAATTCAATAGTGCCCCCTTGCGTGTATCCAAATGACAGTTATCTGTGCATTTCTTTACTTATCTTAAATAATTGCTGTTTGCTGTATTAATCCTGACTTGGATGTCAACACATTCCTCCTTCCGAAGAGAACTGAGAGTACTCTAAAGTTTGGGTCAGACCAAACGATTTCACTGTCACCTTTTTAAGATTTCAGCTTTCTTTTTCACAAGTAAGAAACCCTCAATTTTGCTGACTGCTGTGCTTACACGTTGGTATGCATCTTTGTGTTTCGTTCTTCCCCCAGAAACGAGCATTTGATGATATCCTCACTAACAAAGCACCTGAGTTACTGAAAGATTTGGATACTTTCTTAGGGGATAACAACTGGCTGGTAGGGAAATCTGTAAGTATAATTTTTGTTTCTCCCATTCCAATCAGGTTGCCAGAAAAATAAAATCATTGACTACTGTTGAATTTCTGGATTTCATGCCAGCCCATGAAACAACTCTCCCCACTTTTTTAACTCTTCGTTCTTACCAATACACAATTGGTTGCTCAAATTGCAAAGTGAAAATTGTTTTCCCTACTATTAGAAAAGTGAGACTAACCAGGACTAGGATCTGCATTTTCTAAACCGGTTTAGAAGTATGTTGACACAAAACATTATAAATGCCTTTGTACTAGTCAATACAGATGGGAGTTGTTCAGAACTCTGCTTATAATCACCGATCAATTTATAGAACAATACGAAAAAACCTATATGAAAATGTAATCCCCTTTTTTACCCCAAATTGTTTGGAAACTAATTAAAACACTTTTCTGCAGCACAGTTTAAGCAGGAAAGTTTAGTATTATAATGCAAGTAATATTTGTAGCAAGGGCTTTATTTAACCAATTTTTACTTAAGTCAAGCCTTGCATTGCAACATAATTACTCGCTCTGTAGTTACAGGCTTTAAAAAAAAAACCCAAACAACAAAAACTTACACAAAACAGATCAATTCATGTTTCATTTCTGCAGTTTGCTGAGAATATTAGTAGTCCCAGTTTCTGAGATTACCAACTAAATTTACTGCTTTCTCTTCCATTTCCACCAGGTAACATGGGCTGATTTCTACTGGGATGTGTGCAGTACGACACTTCTGTCCTGTAAACCTGACCTGGCAGACAACTACCCCAGGCTTTTGGCTCTCAGAGACAGAGTGCAAGCACTTCCAGCTATTGCAGCCTGGATCCAGAAAAGACCGAAGACTGTAATGTAGATCAGCTGTTCAGGCTAGAAAGCACAAATGCATGTTTAGTTTTCAACATGACAAGTGTCCTAAGTTATTAATTTTAGAATCATTTAAATTAATTTCAGATGGGAATGCTACACCAAATCAAAATCTACCACTTGTATCCATTTATAGGAGAGAATCTAAAAAGCTGATTTAGTAGAGTAGAGCCTGAGAGAGAGGTGTGGTTTCAACCACATTCCCCCCACTACTAATAAAGTGCTTGATCAACCCAATTAATGTTCTGTGGGCTCTCGAAGGGAAAAGAGGTGAATAAACCTTCCTGGAGAGATACAATCTCAACAATACTTTGTTTATTGTAGACTTTCAATCCGGAGGAAAGCAGGCTAATTAACAGGGAGGATAAATGTGTGCGAGGACTAAGGACACTAAGCAAAAAAGAAAAGAACAGAAAAAAAAAGACCCACTTAGTCAACAAACGTCAAGCTTCTCAAACGCTTTCTTTAGCCTCTTGAAGTTTATGCTGTGCCACTGCAAAGAAACAAAACAAAACAAAACCCAAACCAAAACAAAAAGCAGCTGCCCAGCTGAGCTGGCGTCCACACCAGCACCGGTTCTCCATAAGCACACCAGCTGCAAAAACATTCAGCAGCTCAGTATCTCTTCCAGTAAGTAGGAGACAAAAATTGGGGGGTAGTGGTGGCAGGGGTGGAAACTGGGTTTAGAACAAATGAATGAACAGTTTGTTCTTACGGCACTGGGGAAAACAGGTAGGTGGAAATCCCGGCAATGTGGACGGTTGTAGATGCAAGCGGTTTACACAAACTCAAGGGGAGACAAGTGCTTGCAAGAGGACTCCACTGTGTGGTGTAAGCAGATAAACCACAACAAACTTGGGCAATCCTTTGGGCTGAAAATGGCCACTGTTAGGAAAGTATTTCCCTTCACACTTGCTTTTCCCTCCTACCGTAAGTATTATTTCATTGAATCATATGAGTGACACCAACCAACCACTAACAGTTCAGACACAAACCAGGTATTGGCAGAACTGAAAGCAAGGTCCAATCTTTTGCTCATTCCAATATGGTACCTCCACCTGCTTTGCAATTCCTTGCATGCTTTTTTCTAGCTCTTTACAGATTTTTCCTTCTTCAGCTCCCACTCTCCTCTCTTCTTCAGCCACATGGTTGAGGTTAAGGCACCCCTGGAGGTCATCTGGTCCAAACCCCCTGCTCAAGCAGGGCCACTTAGAGCCAGCTGCCCAGGGCTGTGTGTATCTTTTAAGTATCTTCAAGGATGGTGATTCTACAATCTCTTAAGACCCCCAATTAAAGAGGGTAGAAACAGTTGCAATAAACAAAAAATGCAGATACACATATGAGCTTCATAGCACTTCAAGACAGATACTGACCCCAGGGGTCTAAGGATGTGATTGTTTAAGGAGTAACCACTGCTCAGCCAGACTACATTAACTGATTACATACACATACCAAACCAAAACACCACACAAACCACAAGATAGGGCAGGCATTTTGTTTCATTTCGCATGCAAACAGGTGAGAACATGCAAATACAATGGGACAAGAGCTGGGCTAGGATGATGCTCAACAGAAACAAAAAACTTCATTAACTGCAGCGTTAAACACTTGCGGTTGTCTGTTAAATCCCACTATTTAGTCCAACAAAACAGATGGAATTAAAGCAGCATGGTAGACAAACTGATTCTTACTCTTCCCCCTTTCCATATAATAAAGTATTTCTTCACCCTATTTCAGCTGTGCATTTTGGAACATGCAGCACAGCCATAGAAGATTTCTAGTAAAAACCAAGTGAAGTTTAGTTCAAAACTAAAAAACATTTTGAAAACATTTTAATAGCTTTCATTTTCCATCCATTTTGTACTTGCAGAAATCACACACAGTTGGAAAAAATACCCACAGCCATAACCAAACCAAAACAAATAGATGCCCAACTGACCGATCACCTCACTGACTAATCACTATCAGAAGACAGGCTGAAATACTGAGCAATCATGGACTCCAGCTCCTCTTCCCTACTCTTCATATAAAACTGTTCTGAGTTCCTTCAAAAGACGCAACAAGTGTCTTCTGACTGTGATAACCACATATAGAAAAGTGGTAACTAAGTATCAACCCCATATTGCAAACCAGAGTGAATTCTAGGATGCAGTCCTCTGAGAGATTCAGCCCGGTACAGATTTGCTGAGCTCAGCACAGAGCATACAGCAGCTGAGGCTTTAAGAGGGCAGGGGCAATACAGACTTCCCCATACTTTGTCTTTCCCCAGCTTCTAAAAAAGCAGCAGTCTGAATCTTAACTACGGTGAGTTCAAAAGACCAAATTTCACACTTTCCTCTGTCCAGGGAAATGGACATCCTCCTCTCCTACCTCCTCGAATTACATCCTTGCCAGCAGATCATAAACTTCAGGTGGAGGCACACCTCATCATTGATACCACTGAAGCTCTTCATTTCACTGAGATGAATTCAAAATTGACTGAAACTTCAAGAGAGCAAGACATAAGCTTTGTGTTTAGGGCACTTCATTGGCAGAGCGCAAATCTGGTATCTACACCAAGGACTGACAAAAAAATTGCAACCTGGGTGGAAAGTTCCATTTGGCAGGAATTCTGTTTTTATAATCAATATCCTAACACAACCGTGATTAGAGTATAATGACACATTAGTAATTAACTACTGCTGGATAAAGCCAAGTCAGTTCAAATGGAACATTTCAGCTAGTTTGAAAGCTGCCTATTTGATTTATAACATGCAAGCACCCCCCCCCCCCAAATAATCACAAAATGAACACATTTTGTTAACCTATGGAGTTTTATTTGAACAAGTTGATACAAAACCAGTACGGTACATCAAATGAACCAAAACAAGCAGAAACAGACTTGAGCATTGTCAAATAAGGCACATATAAAAAAATCTACACGTGTAATCCAGTGAAACAGACAGTTTTTATATATATATTTGGAGGTAGAAATAATTACAAAAATACTGACAAATCTTAAGCAGTAGCAGATTTGTTAAAACAATTACTACTTAGGTCCCCGTTTTTAAAAGTGATCTGTAAAACAATGTTTATTCAGCATCTGATGTTGGCACATTTGGGCCATTTATGTTTTTAAGCATCAAAAGAATGCTATTGATGTTAAAAATTTTCAATACCATGAGGAATACAATAAAGAAACTACAAAAAGTTATAAATGTTCATAAAACTCATGGTCATCCGTAATGTAAGAGTCCTTGGGGTACAACATCACCTTTCTTCCTTGAATTCCACAACATATTTACATTTTAGAGACCTAATGAAGCTTTTAATAGTGTGGCTATATCTGCTGGAATGGTTCCTTCTTCTCCTGAGGAATAAAAACAAGTATTAGTACAGCTCAAAATATTTCACATAAACACACAAAAGTCTAGATCCCCAAAACTGCACAAAACCTTCTACTTGTAGGAGTCTGTCATCGATCTGTGGGTCAGACTCAGAGGGCGCTTCCTGTCAAACCGAACAATAATCAGCACAAATACGCCTTTCTAGTTTATTTAATATGCAAAAAAAAAAAAGGCTTGTCTGCATCAAGAATCTTCTTTTTTCAGAATAATACATTGCAGCAACCTTAGTTCACTTAACTGGACATAATTATGTGCAAGAGACTTACCTGAATCTGCTGCAGTCATATCTTGTTCTAACTTCAATTTCTGCTGGCTGATTTTGAGCATGGATTCTTCGATAGTCCCCTTACTGATTAGCTTTATGACTTTTACTTCTCTGAAAACCACAAAATAGGATAAATCCATTTTTATAGTTTCTTTGGATTAGTGCAAAAGGGAAGGATGCTATGCCTTTGCTCAGCTGGCAGTGGTTTAAAACAAGAAGGAGGAAATGAACAAAAGGGCAATACAAAGAGCTTCTAGTTTTTCTGTCTGGACCAACTGTGCTCTGTACTGCCAGAAAACTTGTTTTCTCCTGCACTCCCAGCCACTGCAAAGTCTGGACGGTCACAAAAATCTCTGTTAATAGAAACAACTCAACGTCCCTCTCAATCCATACTACAGTTGAAATACCAGTTATTAAACATATTCTATTGTTCACATTAGCTTATTCTGATGAAGGACTCTAAAACAGTCCATGGTTTCACTCTTCATGGTAGGGTGGCACTTTAGAGCTTAGAAGTTTCCTGAAGAGGACAAACAGCTTTGCCAAACAGTCCCAAAAACTTCAGATCTGCCTTGAAATAGTTCCTAACACCAGAAATTTGAGAATTATAGAGAATTTGAGAGTTAGAGAGAACTGGAAAAAGAAGGAGAATGTAAATAAGGTTTGTTCTGACAGCAACAGTGCTAAGACAATTACAATTACCTAGCTCCCACAAAACCCAGAGCTGGTTTATGCAAGTCTCTGCTTAAAATGGACTTTTTAATCACAAAATATTGTCCTTTTAGCCTCCTTTGAGAGCTTGCCTCCAAGAAAAGCCAAGCATTATAATTAAATAGTCTTACCTTGTCTGACCTACTCTATGGCATCGGTCTTCTGCTTGCTTATCATTGTATGGGTTGCAATCAATGTCATGAAGAATAACAACATTTGCTGAGGTCAGATTAATTCCCAAGCCACCAGCTTTGGTTGACAGGAGGAATACAAATATACCCATATCTGTATTGAACTGATCTATTAGATGTATCCTGCAGAACACAAGAAAACACACATCAGGCCTTGAAGAAAACACTACAGTGGCTCCAGAGTTGAATACAGAAGTTAGGATGATGATCTTTTGAAAGGGAGGACAGTGGCACAGCAAAGCAGCTCAAAAGTACAGATGTTATGCAGAAGGAAAAAAGGTACCAACAGTCCTCCGCAGTGCCCAGAGAAACATACTCAGAGTGACAGATCAATAGCAAAGAATGAAGAGAGGCTTGGAAAAAGATTTTGGGTAATCACAGAATACAAAGAGGAAGTTGCAGGACAAGGGAAGACTGAAATACGTTAAACAAACTGGGGGGGGGCGAAAGAGGGGGGGAGGGAGAAACTTAACTTCATGACTGTCTTCTGTACCAATTGCACACAAGGGATTTCAGTTGTAAGCAGGAAGTAATACC